AGTCTATGTATGAAGTTGGCCTCTTCCTTCTACACCTCCTCGGGTAGATTGTGCGGCTAATTTTGCCACCAATAATCTGAAACATTGGCATATAATAGGGAAATTATGAAACATTGAACTACAAAAATTCTACAAATATACTTGTTAAAGTACAAATTATTTAAAAAAGAGATTATTATTATATATATGTAATCTAACCTAACCTAACCTAACCTGGTCATCTCGTAGAAGCAGGAATTTGAAGGGTGCAACCTGAGCGCTCCCTTCTTCTTTACTGGCAGCCTTTGGTGGTCCAGGCGGCGGTGGCTGCCGCACCATTGACTCTGGGATCTCACGTGACCACCGAGTACTCTCAGTAATAAGCCTATACATCGATGATTAACGATCTGGTGCATACAAAAACTCTGATAAATAAACAAATCAGACAAAAGAAAAGAATAAGGATACATACAGGTATCCTTCCAGTACAATCTTCTATCTATAATTTCTACATTGACAAACCCAATAGATTTAGGAATGGGGCAAGGGGAGCTGGAGGCGACGGTGCTAGGGTTTGAGGAGAAAATATATATCTCTCTCAACCCCGACATGGTCTGTTCAAGTTAATTTGAAAGTTCTTTGAGAGCAGTTTGTAACATGTGATGTTATTTATCTTGAGTTAATTTTGTTAAATTATTTTTTAAAAAAAGTTATTTGAATGTATTTTGCAGAGGTTAATTGGATGTTTATTGATGGTATATATTTGTCTTATCTATAGTTTATATTCAGTTTATTTTTTGCATTTGATGTTTATTGATTTTTTTAGTTATTGATGTATTATTTTTAGTTATTTTGCACAGGATCTCCTGTCGCCGCAGCATTGTCAAGATTTGCGAAGGCGTTAAACATTAGTAACTCCCGGTATTGAGTTGGCACCATGACAAAGAAGCCATTGTCGACTTGAGTTTTGTAATTGGCGTCGTACAAAAGAAAATTGGCGAGGTTCATGAGTTCATTGCGTTCAGCGGCTGGCAGATTGCCATAGATGGATGTTGTCTCCAGCAAGCGCATTTTCAGAGATGAAGGGCAACAACTGGATATTTTTTGAGGCGGGCGGAACTTTTTTTATTTTTTGGTTTTTAAAGAGTGAATGGCGGTGATAGGGGTGTAGAGGTGGCCGCTCAACGGGTCATGGCCCGACCCGGCCCTGCGGGCCCTCAAATGCTTGGCCCATGACCCGACCCGACCCGACGGTTCAGGTTTAAAAAAAATTAAAAAAAAAAACAAAATTTTAATTGTGGCCCGTCGGAAAACCCGGGCCTGGCCGCCCAGCGGGTCAAAAATGGATATAACACGGCCCTTAACCGGCCCTTAAGGAGTTTCGGACACTTTTATGCCAACATGTTTCATAATTAATAAATATTTATATATCATTTTATTAATATTTATGTGAATAAATTAATATTTTATTATAATTTTTATTAATGTACAGAAAATATAAGGTTTTCATAATAGAACCGTCATCAAAACGATCAAGTTATTTTTTTCCGATTCATTTGTTTAGTTTGTTGGTTTTGTTGGAGATCACATTACTCGCAATATTATTATTT